TTTCTCCAATGAGCTCAAACCAATGATCGACTTGTACACACAAATTAAATTTATTACAAACATTCTTATTCTTCGCTAAACTTTTCAAACGTAAAAAATAAATCTTAGGGTAACGATAATCCTCCATTAAAAGGATTTTTTCTATCCATTTTAAAGTTAATTTAAAAATAGAATCAGATAATTTTACTAGACCCAATTCCATTCTAATCGCATAGCCTGCTGTATATTTTTAGGTAATAATAATATTTTTTTGTAAAATGTAGTTTGTATCAATTCAATATCCTCTATATATCTAAGACCCCATATTTGAATTGCGTATAGAACAGAGGTAACCAGGCTCATAAAAAGTTTATTAACTGGGTTTCCGAATCTTTAAGTTTAATCTATTTATCAGGGCTGTTGTCTCACCTACAGCCAGCAAAGTTTTGCTAATGTCAGTATTGGTAGCAGCCAAAAAAGTTGCAGAATTTGAGAATGATATTTTTTGTTAACTTTAAGTCTTACAAATTGTAAAATTTATTAATTTTGAAACAATGCAAAATACAGTATAAATGGAAAACTATTTTTTTCTTTTTTCAGTCATCGGGAAAAAATTGGATATATATATAATATAGAATTAATCAGAAAAATTTATTCATTGACAATAAAAAATATTGAAAATCGTAAATATATATATATAATTATTTCAAAGCTCTTGAATTAAAAAAAGAGTTTATCAAATATACACTATTTGAAAAAAATCACTAAAAAAAATCGGAGTTCATTTTTTCTTTTCTTTTAATAATATATACAATAAATGCGGAAGAATTTAATGAAGATCTTCACAATAATAATAAATTATAAATGCGGCACATACACAAGTAATGTCACATGTTATTTGAACTTGTAAACCGGAAATAGGCACATTAAACTGAATCAGAAAAGATTGCGATGAGTTTTTGTCTAAAGAGATGAGAGAATGAGAGTAAAGGGACGAACGTTCCCGCATATATGAATATTTTACATATTCTGTCATTTCATATGAACAGCATTTTGTATATATATATATAGATTATATACTTTTGCACCGATAAGAAAAATGATTGCTTAACTTTTGACCTTTCGCAGCTACTTGGGGGAATTGGGAGAAGGAAAATATGAGATAATTGAATTTATAAACATGTGTTGGAGTAATTGATGTTAACAAATTTACACATGCATTAACATATTTCTATATATCCTCCAAAAAAAAATTCCTTTTTTTTAATGAGGGACATGTTCTTTTTTTTTTGAAAAAAAAGAAGGTATAGCTGCTGAGAATAGATGATATCGAGGTGGACGAACCTATCGACACTCCAGGAATGCTGGTTTCGTGTGGAACTACAAGCTTCTGTTGCTACTGCTTTTACGAATCTCGGCCACGTGATCAGGGACGCATTCACATAATATATTTGTAAATGAACTTTTTTTTATTATTATTATTAATAACATTGTTTATAATGTTCAATGGATAATGATCAAAATTTGGGGGGAGCATTCTGAGATCGAATAATAATAATTTTCTGTTAAAATATAATTTTGTTCAGCACTTGTTGTTGAGTCAACGAAAAAATTTGTTTCACAAAAAGAAAGAAAGAAAGAAAGAAATTGATGGAAAATTAAATTAATATCCAAAATTTGAATTAGTCAGAATTCGCATGATTATGTTTTAAAAATCATTAATTAGAATTTTCATTTTATGGAATTTCATTTGTCATAATTATTTTTGAGCCGAATTTTTTATTTGTTCGAATTAGTATTTTGCAGAATTTTCATTAAAACGATTTTCTGCATTACAGAATTTTTATATGACCAAAAATTTACTTCACAGATTTTTTATTTTCGAATTTTTATTTGCTCGAATTTTCATTTAACATAATAGGCGCATTGCATAGAATTTTCTTTCAGATGAATTTTCATTTGTTCGAATTATTATTTGATATAATTTCCATATAACCGATTTTTCATACTACAGAATTTTTACTTAACCGAAAAATTATTCAACAGAATTTCTAATTGATAGAATTTGTCCGAAATTGCAAATGACTGAACAAACAATGGACAGAAAGATTTCGGCGCGATTTTTGAAATCAACCAATCACAATTTTATGGATAATTTTTGATTGGTTGATTTTAAAAATCGCACCGAATCGATTGTTTGTTCGGCCATTTGTAAATTTCGGACAAATGAAAATTCTATCAATTAAAAATTCTGTTGAATGATTTTTCGGTTAAGCAAAAATTCTGCAGTATATGAAAAATCGGTTATATGGAAATTATATCAAATGAAAATTCATCTGAAAAAAAATTATATGCAATGAAAATTCGAACAAATAAAAATTCTGTGAAGTGAATTTTCGGTTATATATAAATAATTATGACAAATGAAATTCCATAAAATGAAAATTCTAACTAATGATTTTTAGAACATAATCATGCGTCCTCCGATTTTCTATAACAGAATTTTCATTAAATAACATTTTATATTTTATTTTATTAATAAATTAATATATATATTAATCATTTATCCGAATTTCTATTTAACATGCGATAAAGTCCACAACGTTTATGATCAAAGATTAGAAAACAATTTTTTTTTTAAGACGGAAAATTATAAATTTTTTTTATCGGAAAAAAATGTTTTTTTTTAAATAATTTATTGATCAATATAAACATTGTGCAAGAAATATTGAGATGAAAATTAATAGAATTTTTCGTAAAAAAAAACTATATATATATATATTAGCTTTCAAAATCGTTGATCAGAAACGTTGTGGAGCATATTGCGCGGTTATTTTACGAAAAAGAAAAAACTACTAATTAAAGAGATTTCTGTCACTTTCAGTAATTTCCTCTCGACAGATGGTGCGTCGGGTGCATTGTGCACAACGTAAGTCAAATAATCGTAACAAAAAGAAACTAGCGTGTTATAATAGTGTGACAAAAAGTAACTATCGTGGAATAAAAGTACCAGAAGTGATCTGCGCATGCTCAGTGGTATTTATAACATCCTCCACTAAAAAACGTGTTTTTTGTTCGGTTTTCCATGCGTCCAAAGTGAGACTTTTTATGCATGTATTATATATAAAAAAAGATTATATATAATAAATTATAAACGATTCGATCAATTGAAAGTTTGGTCAATTAAAAATTAAAAATTTCTTTAAATATTTAAATGATAAAATCTTTGTTATATCTAATATTATGAATCAATTAATAAACTGTGTGTAATATTTCTCCCTAAATCTGAATTTTACTGGTTTTTATGTGATAAATAACAAAAAAAAAATTGATTATAATTTTAGCTTTTTTTTTAAGAATTCACACTGAAAAAAAAGTCTGGTTAAAATAACCAGAATTCTGGTTAATCTAACCAGAATAAAAAGTTATATATACCCTTACTACTTTTTCTGGTTAAAAGTACTAGAAAATTTGGTTAAAAAATTCTGGTTAATTTTACCAGAATTTCAAGTTAATCTTACTAGAATTTCAAGTTAATCTTACTAGAATTTTTCTAGTTAAAAATTTTTGGTAAAAAAATTTCTGGTTGATCTTACCAGAAATTCTAGTTAATCAGAGAATTAATTAAATTTATTATTATTATATTATATTATAAAATATGAATTAAAAAAAATTGTATTATGTACATATAAATGCAATCAAACAATAACACCTTTACACTGCAATTCTCTTAATAATGTTTATTTAAATATGATTATTCAGAACTAAAATTCTGATAAAACGTGTCGAGCACGTTTTCAATATAACCTTCAAACTATTTTCCACACGAACGGGTTTGCCGTTCGTCAACAATTTTTTCACTTATATTATAAAATTAATTAACCAACCTTTAAACAGATCTTTTAATTCTCCCAAACCCCAATTTTCCAGAGCTTGGTTAACTTTTTCATCCATTCTTGCGATCCGCACGATAAACTATTCGAAAAAGAACAACAGACGCTATGCAGTGTCCGCGAACGCGCGTTTTTAACCAGAATTATTTTAACCAGAATAATTTAACCATACTTATTTAACTAGAACTGTTTAGTCTTTTTAACTATATTTTCTTGTTAAAATAACTAGAAATTTTTTAACCAAACGCATCTAGTAACTTTAACCAGAACTTTTTTTTCAGTGCACAGTTCTGATAAGTGTTTTGCATTCGAATTAAAAAAAAAAAATCTATTTAAGAAAGAGTTTTTTTTTGTTAATGTAAATAGACTTGTGTGTCGAAAGAGAAGTGAGTAAAGATATTGTCTCTGTCCATAACTATTTATTTTTGATATGTGGCGCTAAAGCCGATAAGAACCAATCCCCTTTTGAGTATTACAGATAGATAAATCTATCTCTTGGTGACACTAGAAGGGAAGCTTTAGATAAAAAATTATCGTTCATCGGCACACAGAAAACTGTCGTAATTTTTTTTTCAATCTTTTTGTTTTTTTTTTTTAAACATTATTTAATAATTTATCACTGTAGTTTATGATTTTTCTGTTTTTTTTCGCACGATTTATTCGATGCAAAACAGATCAAAGTAAAGATGATGATCATTATTATTATTATTATTATTAGGTACCTTGAAAACCCCCAGGTAACAATTTTTATACAAATTCAATAAAATTTTACAAATTTTGTCCGCCATATTGGATCCGACATTTTGATTTTTTAAAAACTGACATCAAATTCGTAATCAGCGACCCCAAAAACCTCCGAGTAACCAATTTCAAGCGAAATTTAATAGCAAATAAGCTTTCATTTCGTTTTTCATTTATTAAAATTGGTTGTTTAATTAATTTAATTGTTTAGAATTTCGAGAAAAAAAAAATTGTTTCTTAAAAAAATATATAAGTAATGTATATAAAATTTATACAAATGTAAAAATAGTTTCGAGAAAATGAAAGTCCTAGTGTAATGAGTCAGGAATGTATAATATACCTATATATATATAGGAAAAAGAAAAAAAAATACCGTGGAACGAAAATTCTTTTACGAAGTTGATCGTTTTACCCTCAGTCGAGTCTTACTTCTTCAGAGAAACAGATCCAATGTTTGCTCCGCGATCCTTCCAAGATAAAAATCCAGGTACCTGTAAGTAGAAAAAAAAAAATATTTACAGAGATTAAAAAAAAAAAAATTTCAATGAACAAATTATTCTATAATTGAAAAAATAATATGATGTATAATATATTTTTTTTATTTCAGTTTCTTTAATAAATTCATCAGTAAAAATGGAAAATCGATTATTTCAAGTGTTATTAATGATAATAATTTTAATTATCACCATTAATGCAAATACAAATGATTATTCCGATTTACTCGATAATGAAGAGTTTCGTATTAATTTAATTAAATGCATCTATGAAGATAAACCTTGTAAACCACCAATGGATCGAATAAAAAGTAAGAAAACTTTAACGAATTTTTATTTTTTTTTGTTTTTCTTTATTTAAATTTTATAATCAATACTTTTCTTTTATAAACATTTATTATTTTTACAAATTAAGTTAAAATAAATGTAAAAAATTATATATTTTTTAACTTCATTAAATTAAATGTAAATATAATTAAAAAATTATTTCTTTTTCAGTTATGGTGGTTAACGCAATATTAAATATTTGTCCTGATTGTACGGCATTTGAAAAAGAGCAAGGAAAAAAGATCATGTCCTATTTGAAAATACATCATCCCTTAGAGTGGATACTCGTCGATGATCGTTATATTTATTGACCATTATTATTAATTACTCACCAATAATTAGAATATATAATTAAAATTATTATTATTATTATTATTATTAAGTATTTGTAATTATTTTTATAAGTAATTATATACATACATAACTATTTTATATACTCAAATATAAGGAAAACAAATTATGAATAAACAATTGTTTATAAAATACAATTAAATGGGATTTTGAATTCTTCTTTATAATAAAAAATAAATTTTTTTTAAATAATATAACATCTAGATTAAGAGTATTTTTAAATTCAGACTTTTTTTAATCATTTAATAATTCATTAAATTAATAAATAAAAAATAAAATAAATGTTAAAAATAAAAGAAAATGATTTAATGTCAAATTTTTTGTTTTAATCTTAAAAAGATTGTTTTATATTATTTTCTTTTTTAATTTATCACTCTCAATCGTGCTATTAATGAGAGAATGAATTTGTTCGCATTTACACATATATTGTATATATGTAATATGATTTAAATGCATATGCTACTGCAATGCAAAGGTTGTAAAAATGTCAGTTTCAATTATCAGCGATCACAGTTATGAATTAGTTTATTACGAGAAGCAAGACATTATTTTTCATATTCACAAACGCATACACATTGAACCTTTGTTATATATTTACAAAGAAAGTAAAATCACAAATATGAGATTTTTTTTTATCATCTTTTTATAGTAAAATTTAAATTTTTAATTTAACAGAATTTTCATTGAATCGAATTTACCGAATTTTAATTAGTCCGAATTTTCATTTGTCCGAAATTACAAATTGCCGAACAAACAATCAACAGAAATATTTCGGCGCAATTTTCAAAATTGACCAATCACAATTTTCTTGAGATAATTAAATTATATCTTAAGAAAATCGTGATTGGTCAATTTTGAAAATTTCGCCGAAATCTTTCTGTCGATTATTTGTTCGACAATTTATGATTTCGGACAAATGAAAATTCAGCGTCTTAAAAATTCTATCAATTAAAAATTTGTTATCGCAAAAACTAAACCTCAGAGGGTAGAAATAAATAAACAGTGAATTTATATGCAAGTTAATAGTTTAATGAATGTGAGTTAATTACACGATGCGTTTAGAAAACGGGAGATATAAAAACGTGTTGCAATATTAAGGCAAGGATTAAAACGGAAGTGATACATCTTTAATATTAACTGATAGGTGGCGTAGTATCGTCCGTGACGTACTTTCTATTTATGAAAATGACTCGAATATTCAAATATCTTAGTTTAAAGTCTTTCTTTAAAGCTAACAAAATTCGTAAATATTAAACATACGGAAAAATTATAATTTGGACAAATTAAAATTCTATGAATTAGAATTTCTGTTTCTTAAAAATTTGAATCACATTAAAATTCAATTAAATTAAAATTCTTTTAAATAACTCATGTAATAAAAACGATTGTATAAAATAATAAAATTCTGCTAAACATAAATTTGAAAAATTGTCTAAAAAATTAATATCATAATAAAGTCCTTGAAAATAAAAATTCTAATGAATGATTTTTATAAGAAATTCAAGTACCACAATAATTATATATTTTAGAAAATTTTACATCACTTTTTTGATACTATTTTTTTTTCTCTTCGAATTAAATTGAAAATGTGTAAAGGAGAAAAAGCGGGTCGATATTATTTTGATACAAAATTTTTTCCATCAATTTTGTTATATTATACAAGTGACATAATATTAGTTTGTACAACTATTAAAATACAAAATGTTATTTTTGTACTTTTTCTTTTAATTTTAAAAATAAATTAACTTATTATTTTTAGTTGTACAAAATAAAATTTTGAATTTTAATTGTTGTACAAAATAACGTTATCGCTAGTTTTACATAACATTTTTTGAAAAAAAATGTTTATAGTCAAAATAATACTGACTCGAAAAATCGTGTTATTTTAACTGTCATAATTATATTAAAATGATTAAAAAGATTTCTTTTTGTGGACTTGCTTTTTTTGTATAAAATAATCAACAGTGTCATAGATTGTCCAGAAATTTTGTCGAAGATTAATTTTTTTGTTCCACGTAGAACACTACTTTTTTATGTGCCTTTTAAATAGAACGGATTATGGAGAAAATTCTGTTTTAAGAAAACTGAGTAGGGAAGAGAATGGTATATGTAAAAATATTAATTTCTTCGAGTTTCCCATTCTTAAATTTATTAGAGTACTACGTAAATATTTCAAGATATTAATGTTGGCACTGCGGTCTAGTTATGTTTTTCTTTCTTGTAATTTAATTACTTTTGTAACATTATTATTTAGGTATACTTTACTCAAAGAGCACAGGTTTACAATTTCTAAATAAAATAAAAATTGAATTTATTAATTTTTTCTACCAACGCAATATTTGTATACATATGTGTATAGTTGTTAATTGGTACTCGCTACTGATTCTCATCAAATTCTATTATACATGTCTTTCACCATAAACATATTTCTTTTTCTTTTTTCCCTTTTTTTCTGAACGGGAAAGCAATGAGTTCGCGTGCACTGAAATCTGTTTCTTGAAGGCAACATATGCACAAACATACGTACATACTACACATGATATACGTGTATATAGTCGCGAGTGTGAGCGAAGCACACATTATATTTGAGAATGTGTGCGTTGGCGCCAGGCCGCATTCTCGCATTTGTTAACTGTCACAAGTAGTTGCCCCCTATAGTGTACTTATGCCCCCTGAGGATTAAGAGCGGTCACGGATCCCAAATTCAACAACCGGGATGAAACATTGATTTGTCCTCGTCTTACTGCCCGGTGAATAATTATTATATCTGACGAATAATATTCTTAAACGAGTCCATTGTTCGCTACTAAGAATATATATTACTAGTGCGGATTTTTTTTTTTTGAAATTTTTATAGACATTTTCTTTTTTTTGATATGGTAAAACAATTCTTTATGAATCGATTAATATTTACAAACAACATTTTTATTTAATCAAAAATTTTTTGAACGAAATTTTTAATTTGCATTGTCAGAATTCTGAATCATTATGAATTAAGTACAGCATTTTTTCCAACAAAATTCAACAATTTTTTTAAATTTAAATAACAATGAATATAAATGAAAATTCAGGCAAGTAGAGAGATTTGGTAAATTTGAAAATTTTGTTAAGTTTCAGACTATAAAAATATGGATGCCGTGAGTGTGACTTCCGCGCAAAATGTATCAAACTTTTGAATTAAATATGTATCTCCGAACCATAGTAATATGGAAGAGGCAACCATATATCAAAATCCATAATTGAATTGGAAAGCTCAATTGAAAATATGGTTGGCACATCCATATCTCATCCAATAATATATAATATGGTTCTCACATCCATAATATATTTTGAAACTGCTTCCATACGAAAAGTTATCATTTCCATTGCATTGGATAACACAACAATATTATGTTCAACAATATTTATATGGATACCACAACCAGTTCATTTCTTTCCATGAATTATCTAACCAATTTTTAATTAAAATTTTTCTTTAAATTATTTTAAAATAATTTTAATGAAATTTTTTTTACAAATTCAATTATTTTCAACTATTTTCAATCAAAAATTTTATGAAATTTAATAATTGTTTACAATTTAAAGAAAAGAGCAAATAAAATTACCAAAAATTTCAATTTAAAACCTTTTAAAAATTTTCCATTTAAAACTTTCTGAAATTTAATAATTTCAACTATTACTCTTAAAAAATTTAATTATTTTTAATGATTTTTATAATATTCTTTGAAAATTCAATTATCTGAAAGTATTTTTCAATTAAAAATTTTCAATAAAATTTAATTACAAACACATCGGCACACAAAAAAAAATTTCGATTGCCAGGACTGCCGTGTGGTAGATTCTCTTCCTTAAAATGTATCTAAAGAGAAAAATGTATAGTCCGACTTCAAAGTTAGTTCGTGTTCTTTTTTTACAGGCATGGTGAGGGGTGATTTTTGAGAAATTGATTTCTATGGGAATTTACTTAATTTCTATATCTAAAACTGAATTTTTGCTTCTTCTCAATGTTGATTTGGATTCAGTGAATTTAATAACATAAAGCATAAAAAATAACAGATAAATGTTATATCATTTCTTTTAGTAAATCTAAAACTATTCAGAGATACTTATACTTTGTTGGCAACGAGGAGCTTAATAGGGTAAACCAGGTGCGGGATCTTGGGATCACATTTGATGAATCGTTATCTTTTAGTTATCACATTTCTAATATCGTTAACTGTGCTCTCAGGTCACTCGAATTTGTTATTAGAAATGCTTTAGCATTTCATAACCCACGAACTCTGAAATCTCTTTATTTTTCATTTGTTAGATCACAAATTGAACATTGTTCTGTATCATGGAGACCATATTATGCTCTTTATCTTGTTAGAATCGAACGAGTTCAAAATCGTTTCCTTCGGTTCTTTGCTAGACAAACTAATGTTCGTTTTGACAGATTTTTGGATTTTTACATGAATATGACAACTTACGTTCATTGGCGAACATACCCAGACTTACATCTAGATTTGACTATTTTGATTTAATTTTCTTTTTTAAAATTTTAACGGGATACATTGATTGCCCACCCCTACTATCACTCATTAAATTTTCTATTCCAAAACGCCATTCTAGACATTATGTATATTGTTTCAAATATCATACCATCGTACAAATTACGGAATTAATTCTGTCATTAACAGATTATCTATAAAGGCGAATACGATTGCTAATGACATTGATTTTTTTAATATTAAGTTAGAAGCATTTGATACAGCACTGCGTAATCTATTATTTAATAATTAGTTTCTTTCTTTCATAAATAGCAGCGTTATACATATATATTATACAATTTGTATTCAAAGGGTACTTTAATTGAGGGGCCGGATACAATAACAACCAGTACGCTCGGCCGGTCGCTTTGAAGCCAATCAACACCTCAAAATTCGGATTTTTCAGAAGCACTACTTTATAGAAGATAAAAAAACATATCTTTTTTCTCTTAGAAATTTTTTTTTAAATCCAATATTTTTGATAATAAATGCAAAAAGCCCAAAAAAAATTTTATGAAATGTAATGAAATTTTAAAATGTAAACGATTATTTCTTTCACAAATAGTAATAAATTTGTTTAAAACTTGGTATACATACTAAAT